ACAACCCAGTGCCCACCTCCCCCACCCCACCCAGCAGCCCCCTGCAGGCTTACCTGGAGACTCCAGCTGGCCATCCTTCACCTTCTCTGGGGCCGAGAGCTCGAGAGCGTGGCTTAGGGACTCTTTGGAGAGCGTCTGCCCATCAGTCTGGGAGCTGGCGGGGGTAGGAAAAAGCCTTGGTGAGAATGCAGTGGGCTGGCTTGGGCTTGAGGCCCTGGTCCCACACACATCTCTGCATCCCCAGGGGGACATGGACATCTCTGCCTCCTGCAGACTCCCAGGACCATCCATAGAGGAGAACCCAGCAGGAGTCAGGGGACAGGACCTCCAACCTGGCCTCCCTGCTGTGTGACTCTGGGCAATTTCCTGCCTCTCTCTGGGTCCCAGGGTCCCCATCTGGACAAGGAAGGGTCTGAGGTCTGACCCTGGAGAACTCTGAGCACCACCCCCGTAGAGAACTGGGTTAGGGAAGCCCCCACCACACCCGCCCCATACCCACCAGTCCTCAGCCCTGCCCAGAAACTCAGAGGGGAGTTGCGGATATTCCTAGGGCCCCCAAATGAGCGCCTCCGCTCTCCCTTGCGCCTGTAGACGCATGCATGTCTATTCACCCCGTGGATAGAACAGGCATGAGGTCATGGAGACCTGGGGCTCAGTGCCATCCAGCTTATCCTGTGGCCAGATACCCCTTGCCCCCAAGGCTTGGTGACCCTGGATAAAGGCTCTCCTCCTCTGGCCCAGGGGTTTCTGGGCTTCCATGACCATCTCAGCCGGACAGTCCCTCAGCATCTTTTTTCTTCAGGGTTTACCTGGCCAGACCTCAGCCTCCTGGGTGGTTGAGCAATGGATTTCAGTACATACTTCAGAAGCCTGCAGGGCTGCAGGATTGCACGACTCCAGGGATACATTTCACAATCATCAGCTATATAAACAGAGCCCACTGGAGTGGTGCAGTGTGCAGCCCTCCGGTTAGGACCCTGGCTCCAGGGAGTCTTGTCTGTCAGTCAGGGTGGGGCTAGTGCCATCCCTGCCCCATTCCCAGGAAACTGGGCCAATTACCTGCTTCTCACATTCGGTCTTACTCCTTGCTGGTACTGCAGGTTCCGAACAAAACTAAGTTTGTGAACACACCCAGGCCCACCTGGCGGCAGTCTGTTTAAGAACCTGGGATAGGTTTTAAAGCAAAAGACATCAGGAGGTTATGAAGGGAGGAGGACACAGAGAAGGGGCGTGGACGGGGGTGGTGCCGAGGTGGCCCCCTTCCTGGGAACTTTGATAGCGAGTCCTGGAGTGGCCCTTCTGTTGCTATGATGACCTGCTCCAGGGAGGTTGCTGAGGACTGCAAAGATGACACAGCATATTTCTGGGGTGAGGCCTGCTGTGCCGAACGCTGTGGAACTCACCCTGCTGAATTGGATCCCTGGTTCTGGCTTTCTGGGGTTGTGAGAGAAACTGCCTCCACTTTGGGACAAAGGAAACACAGGGATGTTCCCAAATGGTCCCTGAGCTGTGCTGCGGGCCCAGAGAATGACAGGGCAAATAAGAAGACACGTACACAGCGAGGCTCAGGGACCACACGGAGCTCGTCCAAGGCACACTGTGAGCATGGTCAATGTCCCCACTTTATCTAGGCCTGTGTCCTCAAAAGACGGGCGGCAGCGGGGCAAGCCCAGTGCTTAGAGCCGATCAGCCTCTGAAGTCACCAGCTGGTCAGCTACCCCTATACAGTCCTTGGCCATCTCAACTGCTTCCTCACAAACAAGTCTGCTTTTAAATCCTCCTCATCAAAAGATATAGGCAGCGTGTCTTTCCCCCCAGTAACATTTGCGTAAATGGGTTGCTTTTAAAATAGCCCAAACAAAGACTAAATGAATAGACAGCCATCTAAGGAAGCCAAGGGCCAAGCATACTCATGGTGACTAGAATTTTCTGTTTATAAGGAGGATGAGGCTGCAGGAAGCTCCTCCTTCCTATAGACAGGCGCCTTTTCTTGGGTGTCCAGTGCTATCGCAGTATCAAGTTTCTTGTTGCCCGGACACCATGCTTGTCTGGCAGCCCTGTTCTGTCCTTCTCCCTCTCTTCAATGAGTGAGTAGACCCTGGCCCTCTTCCAGGACTTGGTTTAACATAGACACCTCACTTATTTCTGTGGCTGGCCTGTGGAGAGGTTTATTCAACTCTCTATTATGTCCTGTGATTAGGGAATTTGGGATACCTGACTCAGAGATTGTCAAAACTTAATTTTCTTTTTTAAAACATATATTTTTTAAAATAAAAAGTGATGGAATCCTGCTATTTTGCCCAGGCTGGTCTCGAACTCCTGGGCTCAAGCAATCCTCCCACCTCAGCCTCCCAAAGTTCTGGGATTACTGGCATGAGCTACTGTGCCCAACCAAGATCAAATTTTTCAAATGAGTTAAGCTAGCTATTTTCCTTGCTAGGGACTTTGGGATTTACTTCCTTTAAGGGGATGTCGTCTGAAATGGAATGTGCTGAACCTCCTGTAACTTTTTTCCTGCTCTCTCAGGGTTATAACTGGTGACGCTTTCCTGACCTGACTTGTAACATAAAAACAGTCATACTGCGTTGTAGCCAGGGCCATCTGTCCCTCCTCAACAAAGCCACCGTTGTGTTGGTGGTGGTGGTGATGGTGGTAATAGTTGTTTTTTAGTTTTTAATCTTCTGTCACTAGCTGTCACTTTTTGCCACCATCAGTGTGCTGGCTTCTAGCAACTCATCTCACTATTACTTTGTCATTTCTTTTTGTAATAGAATAGAAAACAAAACAGTCAAGCTTGTCAGAATTGTAGGTTAAATCAGAGATGTTCCTCAATGAAACTTACCATGTTTCTCTCAAAAGAAAAAATCTGAGGTTTGGGGAGCAAACCCTACTCTGTTTTGACTCCTCAAAAGCACTTTGTGGCTTATGCCTATAATCCCAACACTTTGGGAAGGTGAGGTGGGAGGATCGCTTGAAGCTAGCTAGGAGTTTTAAACTAGCCTGGTCAACATAATGAGACCCCTGTCTCCAAAAATCACTTAAAAATTAGCTGGGGTCAGGCACGGTGGCTCAGGCCCATAATCCCAGCACTTTGGGAGGCAGGGCAAGAGGGTTGCCTGAGTCCAGGGGTTTGAGACCAGCCTGGGTGACTTGGTAAGACATCGTCTCTAAAATAAAACAAGAAAAATTAACTGGGCATGGTGGTGCTCACCTGTGGTTACTTGGAAGGCTGAGGCGGAAGGAATGCCTGAGCCCAGCAGGTCAAGGCTGCCCTCCAGCCTGAGCAATAGAGTGTGACTCCTACTCAAAATAAAATAAAATAAAAATTAGCTGGATGTGGTGGGCGTACCTGTAGCCTCAACTCCTTGGAGGTTGAGGCGGGAAGATTACTTTAGTCTAGGAATTTGAGGCTGCAGTGAGCCATGTTCATACCACCGCATTCCAGCCTGGGCAACAGAGTGAGACCCAGTACCCAAAAAAAGGGGGAAAATGCATTTTGATCCCTTCTGATTCTTGCTGCTGTTCCAGGAAGGGAAAGTGGTGGCCGTTAAGTGGCCCCAACAGGTAAGGTGACACCATTGTCAGTGTGGTCATAATGAACCTATGGAAGGTGATTAGCACATTATTGCTGTCATTTTGGACTGCATACATTCTGGACTGCATATATTGTATACTCCTTCTGGACTGCAGTGGTCCTGAAACTGGCAGAAGTCACCTGCCACAACAGAATGACAGCGATGGTGGGAGAACGGCCTGACAGGCTGGCCAGCTTCTGTCTGCATTTTGAACACCAGGAGGAAGAAGATCCTAAAACCAAATGGGGACAGGGTCTGTCCTCACCCTGGCTCACATGGGCACATTATAAGCATATCGCCCTACTCTCCTTTCAAAGATCACGAAAACCGAAAAACTTCGCAAGCGCCCACCTAGCAGCAGTGTGAGGAGCACAGAGGGCGTGCCCGGGCCAATACAATGCGAGACACATGTAGGAGGCAGGGGAGCCTGGGAGGGCCTGCGCTGTACTTTCTTAACCATCTATCTGTTGATAGGTCTCTCCTTACTCCTATCTTGCTGGAGGAGCTGATAGGAACCATTTGAACACGGTGCCTCCCAAGCCTCCTTCAATTCCTTCTTCAGGAAGTCTTCCTAGACTTTCCCACACCCTCTCACCCTCATGGTCTTTGAACACCCACAGGTTTGGGCTTTGAAGGCCACGCGTGGCTTGAGAGCAGGGTTCATTCTTGATTCTACTCTGGCCATGATTTTGGAGCTTAGTAAATGTTGGTGAGACCTAGCCCTACTCAAGGTGTCACTATGTCCTTTAGGAGGAGTCATTTCCCATGTGAACTTTTAGGGATCAAGACCCTGTTTATTTCTGTTGCTGTTTCTTTCCATTTAGCCCTTGACAGCCAGGCCTCTGTTCTGTATACAGTAGGTGCTCAACAAATGCCTTCTTGAAGCAGCATAGCATTGAGGTTCACCAGAGTCTGTCTGTCTGCCTGGATCCAACTCACTTTACTGGCTGTGTGACCGTGGATAAGTCATTGTACCTCTCTAAGCCTCAGTTTTCTGTCTGTATCCTATGGCTACTGTGAGGAGAAGACGATATATGGCAAGTGCTTAGAACGTAGTCAGCTCCCATCATTATTGCTGGGGGTTCTCATGGGTCTTTTGGGGTGCAAGAAGAAGATCCTCAGGCAAGATTGGGAGGGTGAAAAACACTATGCCAAGTCTAGGGGTCCAGTCACTCTCCCAGGAGACAGGACGGGGGCTGGGAGGCAGGAGGAAAGTGAAATCCTTGTTCCTTACACGGTCCTCAGGATGGGGCCAGCCGACCTGAGCAGAAGCACCTCTGGCATGGCACCTGTGGGGGGCTGCACCCCACGAGCTCACCCAGGAGAGGGCGAGGACTTCAGGGGACGTGTGGCCCAGTGCCACCAAACCGCCCTGCAACAGAGACACAGCGTGAGTCACAGCCCTGCAACCAGGCTGGGTGAGGGGAGAGTCGCCCTCCTTCCTGGGCATGACTCACCAGCTCTGGGGCTGGGTACCTGGCTGTGTCTTACTGCTTCATAGGCCCACACCCTCAGACCCGACGGAGAACAGCAGACACCTCACAGGAGGTGGCTGCTTGGGGCTCTGGTCTCCGTTCCC